GTATGTTTGATCCTTGGATGGGAAAATCGACTATCTGATCCCCCATGCCGGTATCTACGGCCTCCAGTAAGTTTCGAGGTTTGAAGGACCGGAGAGCAGAAACCATTGAACTTAATGAAGATTGAAGTCACCTGCAATCACGCAGTACTTACGATTTAAGTCAGCTGCGGCATGAAATGCCGGCGAGAGACAATGATCGTTGCCAAACTTATCTGCTACTGCTTTTTGCTTATGTCTCTGATGATGAATCTCGAAACTTTAGTCGAAGAAAATTATTGTCCCAGCGATCAAGTTGTCCTATTCTTCTTCTTCTTCTTCTTCTTCTTCTTCTTATTCTCAATGTTCGTAGTCCCCACTGGCATTGGGTGGACGATACACACTGCCAACGACGACGTGGGTATCAGTTAGAACGACCTGGAGCCAGCAGCTCTCTTCTACCGCGTTAGCTTGTGGATAGTGCAACGGAAGAAATGCAGGCGGTTGCTTAACCTACATGAAGCGGCCCCGCGATGGCCATCTTGTCGATCATTACCAATGCAGGCACAGCTTAGGAGAGAAATTCCGGAGTCAACTACACAGGGTGTTGCCAGAGTCTTTGCTTCTATAAAAATGCCTGGGTAGTGGATGAAAAGCAGAGTCTGGAGCAGAGGCATCTTATAAATCAGCGATCTGGCATTAAACAGTTAAGAAATTTTCCATCTTTATTGAGCAAGTTATTCTCAGTTTTTCTTGAGAATGGTTTTTTCTCTGATTACTGTAAAATTCTATAATAATGCCAGTTTTTAAAATCCGGTTCCAGCTTTGACATTCATAATTATCGCGGTCTACATAAAACACACTCTCTGACCAAAGTCTTTGAAAAACAACTTGCCATAAAAATTTCAGATTTTTGCATAAGCAGTCAACTCTTTCAAACATGGCTTTATACCGGATCGATCTTGTGAAAGATGCTACAGGAAAGCAGACTGCCAACCCTCGATCTATTTCCCTTTCCTACAGGCAACTTCGAGGGGACCTCATCCTTACTTTCCGTATTATGAATAACCTGGATAGTTGCTTCGTCTCCGACTATTTGTTTACCCAGGCTAATACGCGAACTTTGCGCGGACATCCCCTTAAACCACGCCCCGGCAAAGCAGGGATCGACGGACGAAAGTTCTTCTCCATTAACAGCGTAGTTGCAGCATGGAACGCCCTTCCCGAAGAGGTTATCCTCTCGACCTGTGTTAATTTATTTAAGAGCAGGCTGGATCTGAATTAACTCCCATCCAGACACACTGCCTTGTAAAAACGACATTACATTACACAATACTACTCGTGATTAACGAGTAGTATGTTTTTATTACTAGTTGAACTACCTGACAAATATTGTGTCTTCCCCAGAACATGTCATTGACGTTCTTTTAAATTTTTTTATGCATCCATATATATCCAGATGCAAAGTCTTGTAAAAATGACACAACATTAGACTATACTACTCGTGATTAACGGTAGGTCATGTTTTTATTACCATTTGGACTACCTGACAAATGTTGTCTTCCTCCAGAACATGTAACTAAAGTACTTTTTAAATTTTTTTGTATCCATCTATTTTCTATAATCTTGTTACTAATAGGGAGTTCAAAGGCGTTTGCCTATCTTTCCCTCAATAAACTGATAGTGATACTGATTTCTTTTATAAATCTGCTGAATTCTTTTCGTAATGATCATCTATCTGTGGTAGGTATCTATTCTGATCTTAGTAAAGCAGTCGATAAGGTGCCTCCTAGGCGACGTCTAGCTAAACTAGAGGTTACAGGATATCGTAGTCCCCTTACTGATTTTATAAGATCACAACCATCTAATCAAAAACGAACGGTCTTATTGAGGCCCTCATACTCTAGTGCTACCGCAGTTATAAGCGGTGCCCTTCAAAGTACTGTGCTAGGTCCTCTGTTCTTGTTTTACATAAATGATTTTTCATCGAGAGTTAAACATTTTAAATCTTATATTTATGCGGATGATTTCAAGTGTGCGTACTCCTTCTCAACTCTTACGACAGAGCAATGCTCAAAACAAATTTATTCGGTCTGGAACGCCAGTTCTGCGTGGAGCACTACATGGCAAATGGAGTTCTCGCCTTCTAAGTGTTACTTCATGTGCTTTGGCCCCGAAAGGCCGCCGCATCCTGTTATTTTTTAAGTTTGTCCAATGACTGAATGGTCCAACATCAATGACTTAGGTTTAAGATATACTAGAAAATTAGATCTTTTGCGTCACGCCGATAAAATTACGGCCAAAGGTGCTCAGAGCTGCGGCTTGATTTCTTATTAGTTCTACCTTCCTGAAATTAAATTAAGACTTTGTCGTATATTTGTGCCACCCATTCGTCGGTCTGATGAACGAATCTAGCCGGTCAAAAATTGAAAATGTTCAATAACATTTTACAATAAATCTCCTATATCCGACGCCTTCAAACACCTCCTACTCAAATACATGCCAGCTAACAAATTTAAATTTCTTTATGTAGTTTTATATCGCCAAATTTTTTTCTTCCATAAATAAAGTTAAAACTGTACCGCATGTTTGTTCTCCCCATCCTAGAATATGCGGTACGGTTCGCTAACGGACATCTATCTGTATAAGAAATACTGGATCCAGAAAGAGAAAAATAGTTTTCGAGTGAACGCGTTTGACAGCAGTAAGCTTGAAAAATTTCAGAGAGTTTTCACTCGAAAACTTTTTATCTTTCTGGATCCAGTATTTCTTATACGAATAGATGCCAGTTAGCGAACATTACATTTCTGTGGGTAAGAAGGCTCGAAGCCGGTATATGCTTCCTGTTCCGCGTTAACAATAGGCCTAACCTCTCATAAATCAACGTTCTTACTCCGGTAAATCGACCTTACGGCACCCGTACCTCCTCCATGATAATTTCACCACCCTAAGCTCCACATCTAACTGTTCTCGTTTTTCAACTCCAAATGTGCTCCCATTTGGAATAATCTTGCATTCAAAATTAGGTTTTTGTCTAAATTACCGATTTTCAAAGGCAAATTACGTATACATTTAAAGTTAGAGAAGATAAAATCCTCACTGTCTGTTTCCTTCCCAAACAGGCAACTATTAGGCTTTGAAAAGGGTCCTCCTGGCATCTGAGGCGCTTCCCAAGATGGCAAAGTGGTCTCGTAAGATGCTTACATTTTCCTCTCTAGAATCAAGCATCATTTCCATATGATGCCAAACTCCTCGCCGTTTAGCAACCCTGACAGTGGTCTATGAGGTCGCTGTTGATAATCATCGCGGGTTCTTACGTTGTCGCCAACTTGTCGGTGGACTCTGCGGTCTGCTTAATCGCACCTCTGTGAAGCTGCCAGGACTTTTACAGGCCCCTTCTCGTTTCGACCCCATTGTCCCCGATGAGCTCCTCTTGCATCACCCCCGTGATGCTATGTGATATTTTCCTACGAAAAGTAGCGTTCCGAACCCTAATCATCACTATCCCATCTCATTGCATCATATCTTATCATAGCAATCTAACAACAAATTTGAACAGTTTTTTCTCCTATATTCTTTGGAAAATCTGTTGCTTGCTGAACTCTGCCACCGATATCGAAGTTTTTTTCACTGCCATGTTTACCTAATATTGTTGACTTTTATTTTATAAGTAGGTCCGTTGTAAATCGGATCTGACTTACTATGTGTAACCTACTATTTATTCCTGTTGTTATACAGTTGCTTACGCGCAGCCGTGATTACTAACCTTGTATTTATTCAAACCACAGCACTAAGTTTATAATGAAAGGGTCCTTGGGGCTTAAATATACAATTTATTTATTTACTAAGAGTGAAAACAGGCTTTCTGCGCTTTTTTCGCCCTAATAGTTCAAATCACCCCAAGATTTGTGTCGTTACCTCTTTACAACCTACGAAGTTCAGCACTGATTATACCTACTTCTGCATCCTCAACATCTTAACGCTCTCTATTCTTTGATTCCAGGTATAGCTTTCTTTGGAATAACTTGCCAATTGAAAGTAAGTCGTTCAGTAGTCTATGTCCATCCAAGTGAAGACTGCAAATTTACTTTAACATTGATTCTATTAAACTTTTATCTTCCTCATTTTTTTCCCAGCAGCTTTATCTATGACTCCGAAGGAGGACGTCGGGAATTTAGGATACCTTCTTGTAAATATTTTTCTCCGTCTCATGCCCCCCATGAACCATGATGCCTCCTTATACCACCAGTCATTCAACAAATGTAAGTGATACGGATGTACACAGTCTAAGCTGCTTCCGTTCGTTGGCAACCAACCATCGCCAGAATTCTATTCTGGCTCCCGAGATGTCGAGGCCTCGCGCCCACTGGTGCCGTTTCGCGAGATTTCGTGTGCATATGCGATCATGAGCGAACTATATCGACGTTTCATTATCTCATTCTGATCTGTAGTTGTAGCGTTAGCCTACTCTATCCCTTTATCTTA